ATTCGATCCCGGGTCTCCAGGATCGCGCCCTGGGCCAAAGGCAGGCGCCAAACCGCTGCGCCACCCAGGGATCCCCAACCTTTTGCTTTTTAAGTGAGGGGAGGGAATTACATTGTAGCTAATGAGAATTAAGGATAATATGCATTTGTTGGTGCTCAACAATTTTGCCAGGGAACAAAATTAAAACTACAACAACAATGAAACCACATCCCCACCAGAACTGCCAAAATTAGGGCAGCCTGGGTGGCTCAGCGGCTCAGCGGCTCAGCAGTTTAGCGCCACCTTCAGCCCAGGGCGTGATCCTGGAGACCCGGGATCGAGTCCCACGTCGGGCTCCCTGCATGGAGCCTGCTTCTCCCTCTGTGTCTCTGCATCTCTCTGTGTCTCTCATGGATAAATAAAATCTTAAAAAAAAAAAGAAAAGAAAAGAAAAAGAAAGAACTGCCAAAATTAAAAGGACTGACAATAAATGTTGAAAGCAAGTGAGGCCACCGATACCCTTGGACACACTGCACGTGTGGGCACCAGAGCTAGGCCTCAGTGTGTGAATAACCCAGCTTAAGTGCGCGTGAGCACACCAGGAGACACCTAGAAACAGATTGTACTCACTACGCTATTTTCATACAATGCAACAGAACAAGGAGAATGGACTCCGCCTCTCAGAATGCTGACCCAAAAAACAGAAACTGTATGTGACTTCATTTACATGAAGTTCATCAGGCAAAACTAAGCTACAGTAAAAGACCTAACAGCAATTATCAATTGTCTTCAGGAGAAGGAATACTAAATGGAAGGGAGCAGGTGGGAGCCTATGGAATGCTGGGAATGTTATTTGATTTGGGGGGAGGGGTCGCAAGGGGGCAGTCATCCATAAAAATCCTTCCAGCTGAACCTGCAGGTGATTCCTCACCCAGATTCCAGATCAGAGCACCCATCGCCCAGCCGCTGTGTGTTAACTACTGTTGGTTCCTTAGTGCTACCTTCTCCGGATAATTGCCCTTACTTAGCTCAGAGGCCAGCAGTGTCACACTCCCGCCTTCGGCCAATGACCAACTGATGGGGGGGGGGGGCAGGTTTACAAAATTCTAGCCTCCGTACGTCAAGAAGGGACAGTTCTATGATGCCAGCTACAGTCCTAAATTCTCGGTGGGATTGGGCTACAGATAGACGCCAAGCAAGAAGACCATTTCCCTCCCTCAATTTCACATGCACCAAGGTCACCTCCTCAAGTTCTTCTTGGGACATGACCTAAGACACATACACTTAAGGTTTAGTCCATACCTCAATCAAAAAGGATCAAAAAGAAAAATTGTTTTGCCCCGGTAAACAGCAAGATGTACAATCTCCCCAAGATTCTGAAGGACAGATGTGTACTTTCCTCAGACTAGAGTTGTCTTAGTAGTTGAGAACCTGGGCAGGGCATGCAGGGGCACCCTTGTCTGAAAGACAAGTCAGGAGATTATGAGCTGGTGGCCTGCCACCAGCTTGCTGTGTGCCATGTACCATCCATCTGCTCTCTACTTCACCTGTACCCCAGATCTACCCACAGAATCCCCAAGGCCTCTGCTACCCTCCAAGGGCATAAATTCCTCTATCTCATTTGTCATTTTCATGAATACCCAGGGCCCGGAGCGTTACCCACGGGAATCCTGCCACACCTACACAGGACCTAGTACTAATACCTACTTCTGCAGCCAGCTACCTTCATGCAAAACTCAAGACCTGAAAATTACCAGCAGTTCTCTACCAACTCCCTGCTGGGTTCCTTTCCTCTACCCTAGGAAACCATCACACACACTCACCCAGGGCACGATCCAAGTTCCTACTTGGATTCGAGCATTCCCCCAGAATCACATGCCAACACAGTTACCTGAGTAAGGCCAAAAATAATATGCAAAGCATTTGCACATCTAAAAAATCCTCTCGTAAACAATCAGCTAATTAGATTCACTTACACTTTTCAAACACTTTCAGCACGCGGACCACACATTTATTTTTAACCCCTTAAAATCTAAACAGACCGAAAAGGCGCCCACGAACCAGAACAGCGGAGAAGAGGTGAAAACAAGCGAGTGCAGCGACGCCGGCACCGAACGAACCATGTATCAGCAAGTCCGCTGGGCCAATAGATGCCAGGCATCAGGGAGGACGGCAGAGTAACTGCAGCCCCGTCCCCTTATTCTCAACAACTGCAAGAGTAACAGACGACCGAGCCTCAGAGAGCAACGGTCCAGAGTCTCCCCGGCAACGTTTCCAGAAAGCCGGTCAAGAATAATCTACACCGCTTCGGGTTCAGACACGTGGCCGAGGAGGCGGCCAGCCTCGATTTCGGGAGCTGCTGACATGGGCACACACACCCGTTCGCTTGCTACAGCAGGAAACACTCCTTAGGTAGCGTTCTCCACGCAACCGCGATCACAGGTCACGGATGACAAAGTATCCAGAATTCATCTCTGAGAAGAAACCCTGCCCTTCGCCCGAGCGCTTTCACCTCGGGAACGGGGAGACTGACTGGGCGCCCTGAGCTTCCCGGCGGCTTCAGGAGCTCGCGGACCTCCGCCGGGGCCTGGGCTGCAGGCGGGAGCCCGCGCGGCTCCGGCCGGACCCCCGCCCCGGGGCCTCCGCAGCAGGTGAGCCCGCGGATCCCCGCCCCCCGCCCCCGCCCCCGCCCCCGCCCCCGCCCCGGAGGCCCGCCCCCGCCCCGGAGGCCCAGCCGACGCCGCACTAACGCAGGCCGCTCTTACCTTCCTACTGGCGCCGCCGAGAGACACTTTGGGCCTCGTTTTGAAATCCCCTTCAAAACTAAACATCTTTACAGCTTATCCCATCTGGGAGGAGCCCCCGACCCTGAGAGCAGCGGGGCGGGCCCCGGGGGGAGGGGCCTCCCGCGGGGAGGGGTCTCGGGGGGAGGGGTCTCCGCGGGGAGGGGTCTGCCAGAAGAGGGGTCTCCCGCGGGTGGGATACGCCGCGCCGGGGGGCGACCCCGAGCTGGAGCCCGAGCCCGAGCTCGCCCTGGAGGCTGTGCCCGCCCGGCCTGCCCTCGGGGGCGGGGGGGAGGCGGCGACGCTGGGGAGGGGACGGCTCCTCCTCACCTCCCCCCTCATCCACGCCTCCCCACTGCTCCGGCCGAGGCCGAGGGCGCCGGCAGGGCCGCGGACCCCGCACTTGCACCGGGAGCAGCCGCCGGGAGGAAAGATGGCCGCCGGCCGGGGCTGACGTGCGCGGTCCCGCCTGCGGGCGCGCGCCCGCCGCCGACGCCGAGACCCTCCACCCCGCGGGCTGCCGGCGTGCGCGCGCCCGCCGCCGACGCCGCGGCGCTCCTCGGAGCCCGCCGGCGTGCGCGCGCCCGCCGCCGGCGCGCCGGAGCTTGAGAAGGCCCCGGGGTGACCCCGCTCTGCGGCGAGGACGCTGGGGGAGGGGAAGGGCAGGGCTCCCCCGGGGAGTGGTGCTGGGGAGCCCCGCGAAAGCGCACTCCGGGGCAGGTGCACGCAGACGCTGGGCGCCGAGGGGCTCGTGCGCTTTCCTGGGAGGCGACTGGGGGCGGCCAGCGTGCGGGCCAAGTGCAGGACGCGGGGACCGGCACCTGCACGCCCTGTGCTCGTGCACTGCTGTGCGAGCGTGCACAGGCGCACGCGGACGTCCTACATCTGCAGGTGCACGCCCGTGCGCGCACACACAGTGCGTACACATAGGTGCCCGTCATCTACGCCCCGCTGGAACCAAACTTAGGACGCTTTATCCTAACGGTGCAATGCCCTGATCCTTTTTAAGATTTTATTTATTTATTTGGGAGAGAGAGAGACCACTAGCAAGGGAAGAGGGAAGGGGAGAAGGAGGAGCAGACTCCCCGATAAGCAGGGAGCCCAGCCCCATGCAAGGCTTGATCCCAGCACCCCAGGGTCATGACCTGAGCCAAGGAAGAGGCTTCACCAACTGAACCTACCAGGCTTCCCTTTTTAATGCTAGTTTTAATGAAGCACAAGTTACTTTTCACAACACGATAGGGGTTTCAGTCTCAAAAATTGTGCCATGTGTGCACACAAACTGTGAACGGGGTTGCAGTACAGAGTGTGGTTCTTATAAATCAAGATCAAAAAACTTTGAAAGCCTCCGGAAGAGTACTCACTATACCACCTAATATATACAGCTCCTCTGATATGTCAACAGATCCTTGATTCAACAAAGATGTTTGACTTTTACCCCGTCTGAAATTTTCCAGATTTTGTAAATAGAACATCATGCTTTTCTTTAACCTGTCAGATGAGCAGTGCTTAAAACTATTGGTAATATCCAGTATGTGCCCTGAGTGAGTGAGTCTGCTCACAGCTCTCAGAGTTGGCTGCAGATAAACTCTTCCACAGTCCAGACAACCCCAGTAGTTGTGAATACCACCCCTGGCTCTCCTGTACCAGCTTTGTTGGGAAGTAAGGCATGTGACCTCCATCTGCTGAGTATTTTTCCAATGTTTTAATTGACCAGGACCATGGGCAGGGAAGGTGGTTCTATTTTTAAAAAAAAAAAGCCAGCATTGGGCAGCCTGGGTGGCTCAGCGGTTTAGCGCCGCCTTCAGCCCAGGGCGTGATCCTGGAGTCCCAGGATCGAGTCCCACGTTGGGCTCCCTGCATGGAGCCTGCTTCTCCCTCTGCCTGTGTCTCTGCCTTTCTCTCTCTGTGTGTCTCTCATGCATGAATAAGTAAAATCTTTAAAAAAATAAAAAAGCCAGCATTGCTCTTGGTCTTAGGTTACACCTGCCACTGTGGTGTGAACACCACTCTGCTGGTTTATCAGGTGGCCTGCTGTGTGAGCCAAGTACTGCCCTAGAGCTCCACTAAAGAATCAGTCATCTGTCCTGAGCTAGAGGGAAAAATGGCTTATCAAAATATGATTCCTCTGATTTTTATTTATTTTATTATTATTATTATTGTTATTAGTAGTAGTAGTAGTAGTATCCAAAATCTGTTTATTGGGATGGTGTCCACTCATCTTGATTCAGGGAGCTTTTAGTGCTGCTTCTGCCTGAAGGAGCATCCTTCTGTAAGCCTTGCTTTTCCTCCCGTCGGCTGGCAGAGGCCAGTGGGGCAGTTGACACACAGAATTACTGTCTGTGTGCAGCTGAAGATGGTGGTGATTTTGTAGCATCCCAGGCACTTCACGTCCATGAAGTAGGAGTTGAGGCTCTGCACCAGGTGCTTCTTCTTGTGCTTCCTCTTATCCTCTTCTGGGGATGAGTGCAGGAGATCCTTTGCAAGGGGCATATTCTTGTGGGGAGGTCGTCACCACCGGAAAGGGACTCTGAAAGATTTTTAAAGACTTTTCTTAAATACTTTTAAGTAGAAATTTCAAGGCTAATGATGCAAAGTATAAAATGGTGTAATGGGTTCCTGTTACCTGTCACCTAGCTTTGGAGATTATCACCTCGTGGCCACTCTGGTATAATTCATGTCCCATCTCTTAACCACTCTCCCCATTATCGTGAAGCAAACTCTAGATGTCATTTCATGTAAATATGTCCGTATGTGTCTCCTAAAAAGGGGGGGAATTTTCTTTGAAGACATTATTCTCTCATTATCACCCTACAAAAACTAACCACAGTTGTCAAGGATAGGTTGGGGATAAAGGTTCCCCACCATATGTGCTGACCCTAGAGCGTAAAGCCAGTGGAATGTGACTCCAGTGACCCTTAATTGTGTCCTGTCCTCCTTCCTCTTCTAGAACGCAGCTTCTCTAGAGCACAGGAGCCAGCTGGCTCCCTCGCGGCTCTGCTCTAGTTGCTGTGCTATAGGCCCTCAAGTATTTGTGAATTGCATCCATGATTTCTAAAAGGCTGTGGAAAGAGGTAGGTTAAAATCACGTAACTAGGGGATCCCTGGGTGGCGCAGCGGTTTGGCGCCTGCCTTTGGCCCAGGGCACGATCCTGGAGACCCGGGATCGAATCCCACGTCGGGCTCCCGGTGCATGGAATCTGTTTCTCCCTCTGCCTGTGTCTCTGCCTCTCTCTCTGTGTGTGACTATCATAAATAAATAAAAAAATTAAAAAAAAATCACGTAACTATTACTCAGCCATTAAGACAGCTAAACTGCAACATATTGACAGCACCAAATCCTGGCAAGGAGGTAGAGAAACCCAGCTTCCCCCATGTAAAATGTTACAGCCATACTGGAAAAGCGTTTGGTCATTTCTTTTTCTAAAAAAAAATGAAACAGGGGATCCCTGGGTGGCTTAGCTGTTTAGTGCCTGCCTTCGGCCCAGGGAGTGATCCTGGAGTCCCGGGATCGAGTCCCACATCAGGCTCCCTGCATGGAGTCTGCTTCTCCCTCTGCCCGTGTCTCTGCCTCCCTCCCTCTCTCTCTCTGTGTCTCTCATGAATAAATAAATAAAATCTTAAAAAAATACTATTAAGTACTAAAATCAATACAGTAGCAACATAAGCAAAGTACAAGGTGAAAAATTTCCATCTGCTTTGCATTGCTTCACCCTGCCTTTGAGATGATCTCTCTGCCTTAGTTCCCTCTCACTAGTCTAACAAATCACCAAAAATCTCGTGGCTTCAATAACACAAATGTATTACCGTACTGTTCAGGAAGTCAGGAGTCTTGTGGAGGGCATCTGGGGGGCTCAGTGGGTAAAGTGTCTGCCTTCGGCTTAGATCATGATCTCAGGGTCCTGGGATGGAGTCCCTCACTGGGCTCCTGCTTTGTGGGTGTCTGCTTCTCCCTCTCCCTCTGCCCCTACCCTCAGCTTGTGCTCTCATGGGCACATTCTCTCTCTTTCTGATAAATGAATAAAATCTTTAAAAAATTTTAAAAATCTCACCAGGCCAAAATCAAAGTGTCTACAGGGCTGATTCCTTCAGGAGGCTCCAGGGGAGAATCTATCTACCTGCCCTTTCCAGCTTCTAGAGGCTTCCACATCCTTAGCTGGTGCCCCATCCATCATTCACATCACTCTGTCCTCTGCTTCTGTCCCCACACCTCTCTCTACCTAACCCTCCTCTCTCCCTCGTATACAGACCCCTGTGATTACACTGGATCCACTCAGATAATCCAGGATAATCATCCCATCTCCAGATCTTTAATTGAACCTCGTCTGCAAAGTCACTTTTTCCAGGTAAGGTAACATATTCACAGGCTCTAGGGGTTAGGATGTGGGCATCTTTGGAAGGAGAGGCATTATTCTGGGTACCATGCTGTCTATTGGGGATTGTTCTATTTTTTTTTAATTTTTATTTATTTATGATAGTCACACACAGAGAGAGAGAGAGAGAGAGAGAGAGAGAGAGGCAGAGACACAGGCAGAGGGAGAAGCAGGCTCCATGCACCGGGAGCCCGACGTGGAATTCGATCCCAGGTCTCCAGGATCGCGCCCTGGGCCAAAGGCAGGCGCCAAACTGCTGCGCCACCCAGGGATCCCCGGGATTGTTCTATTTTTAAAAGAGATCAGGGCACCTGGCTGCCTCAGTGGGAAGTGCATGTGATGCTTGATCTCAGGTTCATAAGTTCGAGCCCCAAGTTGGGTGTGCAACATACTTTAAAAAGAAAAGAGAGATCGTATTAACCTCCAAAACCCCAAAATCTTTTTTTTTTTTGTACCAAATGTAGCATGGATATCCTTCCATGACAGGACTTAGAAATCTGCATTAGGGGGCACCTGGGTGGCTCAATCAGTCAAGCAACCAACTCTTGGTTTCAGCTCAGGTCATGATCTCAGGGTTGTGAGATCGAGCCCCACATTGAGCTCTATGCTTAGAGTAGAGTCTGCTGGAGAATCTTTCCCCCTCCCTTTCCCTCCCTCTCTGCTCCTACCCACCACCTCCCCCCAGCCCATGCTCACATGCTCTCTTTCTTTCAAATAAATAAATAAATAAATAATTTTTTAAAAATGTACTGCATTAGTTGCATTGGCTACCTAGGATCTCACTGTACAGATGGACCATAATTTATTATCTCACCATTTCCCTATTGTTTGATGCTGAGGTTGATGTCATTTTTTTGTTACAAATTCTGCCACAAGAACATTCTCAGGCTTAGGAATGAATTCTTCCTGTGGGGTAGACTCCCTACATTGCATGGCTGAGTTGTAGGGGTACAAGCTTACATTTGATAAGGTCAGTTCCTCACTCTCCCCAGAGGATATACTCCCTTCCTTTGGGATCATCCTAGGAATGCTGGTGAGCCATGTAGGTGCTGCCTCAGAGACTCTGGAATTCATCCAGAGAGAGCATTCATTAAATTAACACCAAGGCCACTGTACACCCAAGGCTGGAAATTCACTCCTTCCTCCATTTATCATGCCCCCCAAAATCCACCCACATTGTCTGGCAGAATTACCCAGAACTCATGCAATGAGAGGAAGTGATCACATTTTTTCCAATAATAAAATACAAAAAGACTCCAGTAAATTAAACTAGAAAGAAATACACAAAGAAGAAACAAGGAAGAAAAGAAAGAGAAAGAAAGAAAGAAAGAAAGAAAGAAAGAAAGAAAGAAAGAAAGAAAGAAGAAAGAGAAAAAGAAAGAAAAAAAGAATTTTGTTGTAGAAGTGGGGATGATAGTTGATAGTTGCTGGTCAGGGAAGGTCTTGGGGAAGCTTTCTCAGGTACTGGCTGCACTTAGCCTGGGGGGTGCTAACTTTGGTATCATTCTTCGGAATGTGGATAGATTACACATACCTCCTGTGTGTGCAATGATTTTAAGGATAAGATCCTTTTAGAAAGACCTCATTGTCTTAGCTTGGGCTGCTGCAACAGGACACCACAGACTCTGTAGCTTACAAACGACAGAAACGTTTCCAAAGTCAAGGCCCAGTGATCTGATGTCTGGTGAGAACCACTTCCCGGTTCACCCTTGGCACCCTCCCAGGTTCTCACATGCAGAGCTGAGGGGCTCCCTGGGCCCCAGCATAAGGGTGCTAATCCCAATCCTGAGGGGATTCCTCTGGATGTGGCATCACTTCCTGAAGCCCTACTTCTCAACAGCATCACGGGGGGTGGGGGGGGCAGTGGCAATAAGGATATCAACATAGGAATGGGGGGGACAGTCCATAACATGAGTAACATGGCAGTAAGAAGATGCCCTTAATTTGAATAAACACTCCTCTTCCATTATATTCCAGGGGAAGGAAAGTACAAAAATTAAATTGCTTGCTTTGCAAGATGGAAATCCAAGGGAATTGGAGTGTGCACCAACCGCTGAGGAGTGCCCACCTCTCACAGCTCTTCTCCGGCACACGTGGAACATTCTCCAGAGTGGGTCACACGCTCGCCATCAACAAATCTTGGTCCATGTAAAAGGATGGAAATCAAAATATGTTCTCTGACCAGAGCGGAATGAAATGAGAAATCCTGGACAGGGAAAATTTGAGGGAGTCACAAATGTGGAGCTTAACACATTCTAGATGGTCCCTAGCTCAGGAAGAGATCGCAAGGGGAACCAAAAAAGCCTGTTGAGATGAATGAAAATCCAGAGAACACGCTGGGGACCACGGCAGGGGCAGCGGCATCCCAAGCACAGGTAGATAAAATTTTAGGCTCACAAAAATGTGGCTCACCTGTGCCGGTTAGGCCCCCGTGCCAGGCATTCTTGGTTCCTACCGAGAGGTTAATTGTGCAACGTGGCCGCCACATCCAGAGGAGGAGGCCGATTTACCTGGACCAGCTTTTCAGAAAGCTGGACTCAAGATATTGCAGTTTTGCGAACTTTACAAATCTGCGGTGGGACAGGCCCAATAAGCAGACCTGACTTGGGTCATCTTTCTCTCCTACCCCAAACATCTGAAAGCCCTCATCTCTTTCCCCCTGAACTGTGCCTCTGGCATGGAGGCCCGCCAGGGGTGGGCTCCGCCGTGGTGGTTTGGGAACCATGAGTTTCCCCCACAGCGGCCCTCGGCCTGCGCCTTACTGCAGAATTGCTTAGACCTACATCCCATTGATTAGGGAAGTTTCCTCGTATCCCACATTGGATCCAGCTGATTCCACGCTGAAGGTACCATGCGGGCTGCCGTGGGATCACTGGGCTCCTTCCCTCTGTCTGTACCCTTGCACAGCCAGCGTGTCTCCCACTCTGACCTGTTCCATGCCTTGTGCCGAGGTGGAGGCTGTGCTCCAGCAGCTGGCCCCAAGCCCTTGCTGTGTGGCCGAGATGCCCTCCAGGTTGTGCCCAGGCTGAGGCCCACAGCCACACCTTCTCTGATGTTCTCACCTGGTGCAGGACCAGGACAGTCAGGGCACATGTGGCATTTGCACGCGGGCAAACCCAC